TTAACCCATAATATATCCAAACGAAGCTTAGGACGAGAGGAATAAGATTATACCCATTTTAAGCCAAAAGATGGCTGGAGCTTGCGGAAATGCCCTGAAAGTTACGGCCTGAGTTGGAGTTCTTCGTTTTCGTCGATTTGGAAGTGGATTTGAGCATGCAAGCTCAAACCCATGGCCTAGGGGTTAGGGGTAGTCATTCTACACCTTCAAACTTAACCAAATCAACAAGGTTTGGCTAGGCTTGGCACGGAAAATCCTATAAATTGCCGGAAAACATGGTGGGTCGGATATTCGTCCTTTAAAAACACAGAAACGTACGTCCAAGCTAGTAAAACACACTGGAAGACTCAAGGTAAAGCTTGAGGGTGGAAATCTTAAGTTTACCGTGGCCGAAGAAGTTTCAATTTGCCGGAATTCGTTGAAAGCCGAAACAGGAAATGTGTTTTCGTCCGAATGTAGCACCACCAAGGAGTTGCAAAGGATGATAGATAATTTTTCGGAGAATTTTGGAGGTGTTGGTGGAGCTTTGGAGTGGTGGTGGTGAAGTTCACCAAGAGTTAGTAGCCTAAGCCTCAAAAATCTTATGATCGGCCCTGCCTTTTGCTCCAACCAAACTAAAAATGAAAGAAACTTAGGGTGTGTTTGTTGCACCGGAACTATCTCCTGGACTAGCTTCAGGGACTAAGCTAGACTGACTTAGACTACACTAAGCTGGACTGACTTAGTGAAGCGTTTGATGCAGTGTCGGACTAAAAAAAAGAATAATAACAAACTACAATATTATATTTTTTTTAATTCATATCTAATAATATTACCTTTTTTATTTTAAAAAAAAAACTCTCCCTTTCTTTGGAAGCCTCCATCTTTTTCTCTCTCTTTATCTTCCTCGTTCTCTCCGTCCCACGCTCTCCTTCCCTTCCCTCTTTTTTTCTAATTAATTGCCAAATTTTTTTCTACAAAACAAAGAATTGAGCTTGGTTTTTCAAATTTTTGTTTGGTGCAAAATTCCAATTGGAGAGAGCTTTCCAAGTCCGTGGATTCAATCGGAGTGGCAAAACCGGCCTGCAGCGATGCTTGGAGAGCTGACCGACGACGAGTCGAGGTTTGTGGAGTCGGGGAAGTGAGAGACAGTAATGGCTTGGAGTCGAGGTGAAGCGAAGAACAGAAACGGGACTACGAATCCCCTTGTTTTTGGTGGCTCTCGTTAAGTCCACCTAGTGAAGGATTAGTCGGTACAAGTCTGGCTTAATCCCATTAAACACAATCCCAATTTACACCAAACATAGGTCTACTAATTCTAGCTCAGTAGTTCGGTCCAGTGAAACTTAAGCTGACCAAACAAACACGCCCTTACAATGCTTAGGTATTTTCTGAGCAAATCGAGATTTGATAACGACAAAAGGCGACCTTTGTCAACAACAAAACACAAATTTATAAACAACCGAAGCAGAGATTTGAGACCGAAAAAAATTTAACATCGACAACAACAGATAATGACAGACTGATATAAAAAACGGAAGCAATAGTTGAAAAAAAATGTGGTCCAGAGCGAGCAATCAATGATGATCGACAGGTGGACTGGACAAATATGTCCTTTTACTGTAGCCAGAACAAATAACAACGAAGGATAAAAAGGAAAGAGAGTGCAATTTCATCATTTTACTATTAATAAATAAATAATATGAGGGCACAAAATAGACAGTTGAGATCGAACAAAGGGCACTTTCATAATTTTATGTACAAAGAAGGCAACAAAACGGGACAACAAGAAGAGACAAAGGGTATTTATGCCCTTCAATGAACAGGGCCAAAAAAACTAGGTTTTAGTATATGTATAATTTGAGACAAATAAGGTTCTTATCAAATATTGTAGTTCTATTAAAAAAGTGTTGAAGTTTAAGATTAACATGTAATCTTATAATGAAAATTCAATAAACCATCTAAACTAGTACAAAATATACTAATGCATCATTAACATTTGTAACCGATAACACAAAGATAAGTAAATTAAAATCTAAATGCACAGGTAATTAATTTTTTGGTGTTACTATTTATTAACACACCAAGACATATCAACTATTTTTTCTGCCTATATTCTAACATGTGGAATAATACACCAAGTTATAAATATTTTCAGTAGTACAAAATTTTCGCGAACAAACAGAGACTTATCCTTTAATAAAGGATCTAATGGAACCAGAAGGAGAAACAACATCATAAATTAAGTTAGGGATTTTATCTTGTAATGGAAGCAGGGCTAGCCCTAAGGGTAGTTCATGTAGGTGCCCGAGGGCCCCCCAAATTTTTTATATATTTTGTAATTAACATATAAATATAGAAAAAGTAAGAAATATCATAATCCATTTGTTGGTGTTGTGAAAATGTTCAGCTTCTTTTTTTCTTTGGGGCTTTGAGTTCAAAACTTGGAGCTACCTTTTTCGTCACTAGGTTTATCTCTTTTTTTTTTTCAAATTTACTCCTAATCTATGTGTCCAAATGCATATAAAGTTACAAAACTCAAGTCCCCTTCCGATCTTTTTTTCTTTCAATTTCCCAACCTCTCAATATCTATCGAATGTCTAAATCAACTGTCACATGATCTTGAAGATTGTACTTTAAGGTAATCAAAACTTTGAGTTTATATTTTGCTTTTCAATAATTTATTATGCAATGGATTATTTTTGAATAATTGATCTGTTAGTGTGGTGTTGATTTATTAAAAAAAAAAAAGAATAATTGGCGTTGTTGAATTTATTATACTCATCAATGAAGTTTTATTGTTCCTTACCTTCTTAATTATCAAGTTTTATTGTTCTTCACTCTTAATTTTAGACTCTTAACTGCAAACATTTAGTACATTTGAGTTTAAAAACGTGACACGTGTAATTTTTAAGTAATGCTTGTATATCTATCTTCTTTTTATATTAATTTTAATGATACTTGATGTGAAATAATTTTTTTACGTATTTAGCTAATTTTTTTAATACATATCAACGTGTAAAGAACTGAGACTAAAAAAACTTTAAGACGTCACTTCGAAGGCTCGCTTAGGGCTCCTAAATTCTCAAGGCCGGCCCTGAATGGAAGTAGTGTGATATGTAATGTAAATTAGGGATGAGAAGAAAATAAGAGTTGAATATTTTTTGCTAAGAAAAGCAACAGAAAATATGAAAAACCAAAATCCCAAAACAAAAAATAATAAAAACGAAAAAAGAAGAAGTGGCATATGATGTGGCGTAGTGTGAAATGGTTTTGAAATCTCTCATTGGCGGCAACCAGTAGGTTGGGAACACGTGTCAACACCATGACGTGCCATCTCCTAAAAGCGGGTGGGTTGGAGACTCGGAGGTGCACGCGGTGCAAACGCGAACAGCTTTGCTCTTGAGATTGTGTGTCAACTTTTTGAAAAGGGATCTTTTCGGATCCCTTCCTTCTAATCTACTAAATCAGTAGATCCGTACCATTAAAATTTGATCCAACAGCTGAAGTTATTATAATTTTTAAAGTGGACTTATGTTTGTAGCCGTTAGATCAAATTTCAATGGCAAAAATCTATAGATTTGGTCATGATGAGTATTTTTTTCTTTCCAGCTATAAATGGTTGCCTGATGAGTATTTTGAATGTATAGTGGTTTTTTTACATTATTGTATTATTATTAGGGGAGAGGAGGGAGAGTTAAAAACTATTACAATAATTTAAGAAAGGGACCGGAACACATGAGATATTGAATCACATGCATGAATGTATAAAGTGTTAAAATCAGCATTCTCTTCATTAACATTTCTTATGTGGATGTTATACTCATTGAAAGCAAATTTCCTAAAAAATATTATCGACTCTTATGATATAAAACTTCAGCTTTTGTCTTCTGACAATTCATTTCTTCTCTGTTCTATTTAGCCATTTGTTCTACATCACATAAGTTCAAATCTTACTTACTCTCCTTTACTAGATGGAAAAAAAAAAAGGGGAAATTCTTACAAGGCATTCTTGTGAAATACAATTTGGAAATTTTGAGAAAGGATAACAATTTTGTTTCAAAAATATTATGGGTCATTCATATCTAGTATCTGATGTTTATCAGAACCTTCAACCCATAAAGTGAAATAACAAGAAGGAAAAGTAGATAAACATGACATTAATTTGAAATATGTAAACCAAAATGTTATTATAAATTTCTTTCAGGACAAAATAAACCATTGAAAGTGAGATTCGAAATCCCAACTTATTCAATTGGGAAGTTAGAGAAATTTTAGATTTGAAATTCCAACTTATTCAATTGGGAAGTTGAGAGATTTTAATGGATTTTTATGGAGTTTAATTGATTTGTAAAGATTCATATAAAATTTTGATTCAATTCCCTCAAAATTTCATGAGAAGAAGTGAGATTTGTATATGCTCAAAATAACTATGAAATCTCTTAAATTCTCTCTAATTCCTCAACTTTTTCAAATTTTTTGAAATCAATTTCTAATTAAATACACCTGAAATGTTACAAAGTTCTTTAAAATTTTAAAACACTTGGTTTTAAGTGACTAAAAAGTTTATTTTCAGTATGAGGGTATTTCAATAATTCTGTAAACAATACAAACCCAACTCAAAATCTTTACCTTTTAGAAACATTAATGAAAATGACTTGAAAACTTTGTATTTTAATCAAAATGACAAAAAAGTGTTGTAAGTGAATAGTACTAGAAGTGACTTTTTAGAGTAAATATATCACTTTGATTAAAAATAAATAATACCGAAAGTGTTTTGTTAAAACTTTTATCTATTTTCTTGGTTCAATAAGGAGGGACCGTCGTTCTTCTCTTCAAATTTGTGGCGCTTGACTTGTTCTGCACTGTTTTGGCTTGCCATAAGAAAAGTAGACCAAAAAGCCAAAGCCCTTGGTCTGAAGCTTCTTCTACCACCCCCAACCCTTCAACAAATTCAGGGTCAGGAGGTAACCGTTGCTTTGCGCGTTAAAACAGTAAACTCAGCCACAAACACAAAACACCCTCACAGATATTGGTTTTTGGAGAGAGAAAGTTAAAGATAAATGCAGCCTAGTAATGTTTCTTAGAGAGAGAAGGGACATTGCTTCCCGCATTTTCCATGCCTATTTCACTCGTTTCTCCCTCATGCGTGCAAGTTATTCCCAAAATCTTAAATCTCAAAAACCCAAACCCCATATTTTCTTTCCCATTAAAATCTCCTCTTTCTCCTTAAACTTCCTTATTCATCTCTCTCACACACCATTATTTTCCTTTTATTTGAGCAAAACCCATCATCTATTTTATCGATTTGCTTTATTTGTTCTCGGTGGCTCTTGTTTATTGAGGTCGGTTGGAAAAAGCTCAAAAGGTTTGCTGCTTTTAATGCTTTTACACACTGATTTGTGGAGGTGAAGTCTTTCAAGGTTGATTTTTCTGTATAAAAGGTTTAAATTCATTGGATTTGGCCAAGTGGGTTCGGTTTAGGATCTGCAACTCCTTATTATTTTTGCAGAAATCTGGCGCTGGAGATTGATTTGGGGAAGATTTTCATGGTTTTTGTTTTCTGGGTTTTGCTTGTTTAGATCTAGATTGAAGCCATGGGAAGCCATATGAGCAAGAAGAGCGCTGAAACATCATCCTCTGCAACCAATCTTCATACAAATTTGCAGTACACAACTGATCAATTGAGTTCTTACGAGGCAGCTTGCAAGCTCGATGCAGACTTGCAATCCTTCGACATGAATCTCCAAACCCGAACCAATCATGTCATCAGCACAATTGCGGCAGGAGTCCAAGTCCGAGCCCTCTCGTTCGATTCGCTGAAGGAGGTGACAGGATGCCTGTTGGAGATGAATCAGGAAGTTGTGAAAGTTATCTTGGGGTGCAAGAAAGACATATGGAAAAATCAGGAGTTGTTTGAGCTCGTTGAGGAGTATTTTGAGAACAGCTTGCAGACTTTGGATTTCTGTACTGCGTTGGAGAAGTGCTTGAAGCGAGCTCGCGATAGCCAGTTGCTTATTCTCGTTGCGCTTCAGCGATTCGAGGAAGAAACCGAAATGGGAGGCGGTCAATACACGAGGACTTTGGAGGAGTTGAAGAATTTCAAGGCGATAGGTGATCCCTTTACTGAAGAGTTCTTTCAGATATTTCAATCTATTTATAAGCAGCAAATACTAATGCTCGAGAAGTTGCAAATGCGAAAGAACAAGCTCGATAAGAAACTCAGATGTATTAATGCTTGGAGGAAGGTCACGGGTATGATATTTGTTGCTACATTTGCTGCTGTGTTGATTTGTTCTGTTGTGGCGGCAGCCATGGCTGCTCCGCCGGTTGCAGCAGCTCTAGCTGCGGCTAGTTCTATCCCGGTAGGCTCAATGGGGAATTGGATTGACTCTTTGTGGAAAAACTATGAAAATGTTTTGAGGGGTCAAAAGGAAGTGATTAGTTCAATGCAAGTAGGAACTTATGTTGCCATTAAGGACTTGGACAACATTCGGGTTCTCGTTGATCGATTGGAAATTGATATCGAGTCCCTCTTGCACAATGCAATCTTTGCCATTGACGAAGAAGCTGTGAAGGTTGCAATAGAGGAGATTAAGAAGAAGTTGGGAGTATTTATGAAGAATGTAGAGGATTTGGGAACTCAAGCTGATATCTGCAGCCGCGACATTCGAAGAGCAAGGACTGTGGTTCTGCAGAGGATCATCAAACATTCCAACAACTGAAGACGACCCTCATATAACCAGTTTCTGTTTTGATGTTCCGAGAAATTTCGAATTTGTTTAACTTTCTTTTTTTTTTTTTTTTTTTTGCTTCCATCTTATTTGTTCATTCTTTAGATTGTAACTTGAATCCAAACAACTGGATTCGTGTATATAAGAAATAATGCAAGATTATATAGCATTTTACCTTCTGTCTCAATATTTAGGCAAGAAATGGACTTTAGTTAGTTCCGAATTAATGACAACATTTTGTCTTCAACCTCCTAATTGATTGCTAGATTTGATGAAATCTTTCGGTCCATAACTTTGTGATCTCATGGATTTTCGGAATGTCGTCTGGAGTAAGAAGTCTCTTTTCATTTGGATTGCCATATAGGCATCTTTCTTCTGTTTAAAGCATGCTTAATTGTTACAAGTTGAGAGTTGAAACTTGCAAGTTCCAAGAGGAGCAAGGTTATAGTCTCTCCCTCTATGGTTGGTTTCCAAGTTCACAACCAAGCCAACTGTATGCAGTTCTCTTGTATCCAAGTATTTTTTGCGGTAATGAGGAAAAATTCTTATGATTCATTTAATCTCGTACAAAAACTCAAAAAATCACATGTATCTGGTAAATTTAGGTTTTTTTTTACATTTGTTATGCTTAAATTTACAGCTCGTCTTGTGCTCACTTTTTCCCACCGAGCCAATTGTATGGTTTTGTATGCATGAATTTGCAATGAAGTTATTTCTTAATTGCAGATTGATCGTAATCATTTCTGTGGTTAGAGTAGTGACCATCTCATTGTCGCTTGCCTCCTTACATTTTGGTAGAATCTTCAATCCTGTAGTTCCTGAAGAAAAAATAGATGTGATCAAGAACAGAATTCAACCCAAAAAATAATCCTTGTCGGTAGGAATCTAGGACGAGATTCACAAAGAAAAAAAAAAAAAAAGAAACTTCTTCATGTTGAAACACAACATCGAACTCGTTCATACTGAAAACGAGAACATCTCACAATCTAAAGGTCCCCAACCTGATAATTTAACTAGGGTGACAAGCCTCCAACAGCATTGTGAAACTTTGGTACTTGCGTGTGCCCAAACGCAGACATGATCTCTCATTTCTGTCATCTGGTTATGTATTGAATCTCTCCATACTCTCTCAACAATTCAAGCGCCTTCCTCACTTTCGTAACTATGGGGGCATAAGCTGACATGTCCCCTAACGCATTCCTCATCGTAATCTTGTTTTACGACATCTTTGACAAGCTCCCTAAGTTGAAATCTGCCAAAGCAAACAGATCCACAGTTTCTGTGAACAAGATCAAGGCGGAACCATCAACTACTTGCTCTCAAACTATTTGGTTCAACTTGCAAGAATCTATCGGCAAGCAAGACTTGTAATGTGGGTACAATCACCGTAAAATAATACTTCGCATTCAACCTAAAGGAGAACTAGAGAAGCAAAACACGAGATCTTTCATCTAGATAGTCTGTAAAATTAAACCATAAATTGATAAATAATAGGTGACTTGTAATACAAGAAAGCTATAACTCAAGTTACACTTTGTGTATTTGTAACTACAACCTCGAGAGTATTCTATATGTGAAATATGCAACTACTAATTTCATATGGTCAAATAATGTTCCATTTTTCATGTGAAATATGTAACTACTAATTTGGACGCGTATATGGGTAGATCTATAGTATGGCAAGCGAGGGTAGCTAGCTACTAATACCCTAAATGTAATCCTAACATATCTCTAATTTAAAAAAAAAAAAAAAGAAAAGAAAGAAAAACCCTTCCCACTCCCACATTCTCTATCACTCTCTTCCTCTCTCCTTCTATTTCAAAAATAAAAATAAAAAATTTTCTCACATACTTTGTGTGTGCCCATATGCTCATATGCTAGTGTATACTAAAATACCACTTTGGTATGCAAATTTTAAGAAAGCACAAAAATTGAAATGGGTAGTCCATATTGGTATCAGTCCTATTCATTGATATTCCCTTTTTTTTTTTTTTTTACCCATTCTTGGGTAATATTCTCCCAATTATATTGGAAAATGAATACAAAGTGGCCCTTTTTCTGTGTATCATGTTATGTATAGTTTCTATATATTTAGTTTTTTGTATTTCAATGTTTACACTTCTCAATGGTATATGAAACCAATCGTAAACGAAAAGAAATAGGGGTAAAATCGGAAATCCACTGTATCTAAGCTACAGTGATTTCCCCACCTGCTTTGGTATATATAGATTTTGCCATTAAAATTAAATAACCAAAAATCCATACCTCTATTTTCTCAGATCCCTCTTTCTTCCATTTCTCCATCTCTCAATCGGCCGCTGCACCTCACTGAATCGCGAGCTCAGAGACGACGTGCCGTTCAGGCCGTAGAGATCCCGCACCCCCGCCAATGGAGGCTTCTCCGCAAGGCGGATTCGACAGTGACAAATCCAAGTCCTCCTCTCCCATCTCCGTCGTCTCCAATTTCTGGAAAGGTAATTTTCAATTTAATGTTAAGCTTTCAGTTGAAGCTTTAGAGTTGCAGTTTTGCTTGAACAATTTGAGAATGGTAGCTCTGTAAGGAGCCGCAAGTTTTTCTTAATGTCAGCTCTGCAATTTGCTTATTGGATTCTGCCTTACTGGCAATACAAGGAGAAAATAAGCTTTGGTTTATGCTTCATTTCAATCAGATATGTGTATATACACACACACACACAACGTTTGTATGTATGTATCAGTGTAAATTGGCGCTCACAATTTGTTAACATTTTTTAGAGAAATGGTGCAAATGACTAATTTTATTGGGCGTTATCAAGTTTTGTGTTGAATCACTAAATATTCAAGTAAAAATGTAAATAAATATCGTGATAGTTGTGAGAGTGGAATGAATTTATTGAGAAGAAATTGCGGAAGGGCTTAAAATGTTGCATAGTGGAACTAAAAGATATTCTGTGATGGAGGTTGGAAAACCGTTGAGTTTGGTTTAGCATCTGTTAGGATCGGAATGATGCCTCACGGATTGACCGCTGTGGCGACCAAGGTATTTGGGTTGTGAACCAAAAGTAACAGGAATGTCATTGCTGAAAAGTTGAAAACTTGATATCAATGGACGCTTTTGTGTTTTTCTTACAGATTTTGACTTGGAGAAGGAAAAAAGTGTATTGGATGAGCAAGGGCTTAGGATAGCTGAAAATCAGGAAAACAGCCAGAAGAATAGGCGGAAGCTTGCGGAAAGCACTAGAGGTATGCCATTATATCTTTATCATGACCACAGTTTACTTCAGTTTACATTAGTTGGTCTAGTAAGGGAAGAGGACCACGTTTCCATGGGCCAGTGTGAATTTCTTCTTGAAAGTGCAGATATTGGGTACCTTTGCAAGGAGGCCTTTTTCTGTGTTTTAATTGTTTCATCTCACTTTTGCAGTTTTGCATGATGGAAAACATGTTTGTTAATTTACAAATTGCTTTTCTGACAGATTTCAAGAAAGCGTCACCGGAGGAAAAGCTAAATCTCTTTAATTCATTACTTAGAGGTTACCAAGAAGAAGTTGATAATCTTACTAAGAGAGCAAAATTTGGAGAGAATGCTTTTCTTAACATCTATCAAAAACTTTACGAGGCTCCAGATCCTTATCTGGCGCTTGCTTCAAGTGCTGTAAGTACTAAGTACCACCATCATACTTAGTGTTTTCTAATATTTCTGAAATATCAAACCTGATTTAATACATGCTTTGATCTTTAATACCTTAAATTGAATGAACTTCAATGATGTTCAGTGACCAAGCAGATATATATGCATGAAATGATTGTACATAACTCTCAGGAGATTCCATTGAACTCTACAACTTGCTCTTTAAATTATGTTTTGGGTGATTTTGAAATCAAAATTTGCTTGGCCAGCTCTATGGCCATTGCGGGCCATGGCGATTTTGCTGTCTATTTTTTGAAGTTCATAAAATAACAGCAACAACAACAACAACAAAGCCTTATCTCACTAAGTGGGGTTGGCTATATGAATCCTAGAATGTCATTGCACCCGGTTGTGTGCCATGTCTTATGTTAGATCCATGTAGTCCAAATCTTTTCTTAGAGTCTCTTTCCATGTCTTCCTAGGTTTTCCTCTGCCCTTTGGCCCTCTGTCTCGTACTCTCATTTTCTAACTGGAGCATTTGTAGGTCTTCGTTTTACATGTCCAAACCACCTTAACCGATTCGCTCTCATCTTTTCTTCAATTTCAGCTATTCCTAATTTGCCTCGGATATCCTCATTCATAATCTTGTCCTTTCTCGTGTGCCCACACATTCAACGAAGCATTCTCATCTCCGCTACACTATTTTTGTGTATGTGTTGATGCTCAAAATGAGTGTAGCAGAGATGAGAATGATTCTTTGGATGAGAATTAGAGCAAAAAAAAATTGCTTCAAGTTAAAAACTTGATTTTGTAAACAAGTGTAGTTTAATCAATAAAAGATATGAGAATTAGAACAAAATTGTGTTGTGACTCTTGTGAGCCCAATTGAAGTATCATTAGTGTTGGCTGAGCAATGGTTTCATATAGAATATAGATGACCTGGAAAGTTTTATTATTAAATTACTGCATCCCTTATTTACCACATATTGTATCTCTTGAGCGTGTGCTATGCTCTTTTTGTAAGCTGTGCCTTATGGGTATGTTTTTGAAAATCTTTATTCATCTCATGCAGGAGCAAGATGTGAAATTGTCTGAACTAGAATCTGAAAATAGGAAAATGAAGGTTGAGCTTGAAGAATTCCGGACAGAAGCAACTCATTTAAAAAATCAACAGGCAACAATAAGAAGACTTGAAGAGCGAAACCGCCAGTTAGAGCAACAGGTTTGTAATTACTAGTTTCTTTTGTTATTTAACAAGCATGACTATACCTTCTCAAGTGGTTTGAAGTTTTTCTCTTTCTCTCAATATAGAATTTATTTGAGTCGCGGTGTGATATTTTTAATAATCACATCTTGCCATCTCAAGTTGGATATATTGGTTTGGTTGATAGGGTTTCTATCAGACTTCCTCTGGTGAGCTATCTCTTAGTTAAAGTTAGATGTAATCATGTAAACAGTTTTGAAACTGAAGGTGGTCATTACCTTCCTTTAGATGAGAAAGTTCATTGTGACTTTGTTATAATTTCAAATTCATTGTTGTTTCTCTGATTTCATTGTGACTTTGTTATAATTATCGCTGGAGCATTTGGCCATAGTGAAATCAACAGATTTAAATTTTAACATACGTTTTTAACCAGTGGTGATACCTCCCTTTTAATGTGTGAACTTTCTCATGTTCTGTTAGATGGAGGATAAAGTTAAAGAAATTGTGGAGATTAAGCA